TCTTCAATGTTGGGCCGCCCCGGTCCATCAAATCCTTTGGTATAATATACCAAAAAGGCATTCTGATCGAGGAACTTTTGTTTGTACGAGACTGGATCCGAGTAGGCATCAAAGAGTCGTTTGAAGGCTTCTTCCGTCGTGGGCATGCCTTCCAAATCCAAGGTTTGTTTGTTTTTCAATTGCAGCTTTAGATCGGACAAGGAATACCGCAACAATACAATAGGTTTCAAGGTATCGACCGTTCCAGTCCGGGAGGTATCGGCACCATTGGAGATTGGTAAATTGCGTGCATCTGCCGATCCCATCGAGCCCATCCCCGTAAAGACCACGGACAACCAACCAGCTGATTCTAAGAATTTGCGTCTCGATGATGGTGATGAGTACGAGGATGATAGCGGTGAGGAATCAAAGTCATCTTCATCGTCATCCATGTGAAGCTGGAGTGATGTAATTTTTTGGATTCCTATTGTTCCAATGCGTGTTGGTCGTGTTTGTAGTTGTGTTGATGGTTGCCAGCTGTGACATATTCCAATGATGATGAAGAATAATAATAGCGTGATTGGTCGGAATTGAGACGTAAAGAAAGTGAAGCTGTGAGTGTGTTGAGCCATGGCTAGAGAGTTAGTCAGATATCGTTGATGTTCTACACTAGAGAAGTTTTGTGACAATGGCGAAGGCTGTGTGATGGGTGCGTATATGGCGACGACAAACAAAACGTTGACACCTGTAATTTGAAACCATTCTTTTATTTTTTTATTCGCCAGTCAGTCAGTCCTTTGGATTCGACTTAGTCGTATTCGGCTTAGTCAATAATACTGTCGAAGATCTTTCTTCTTTCTTTCATCATCATCGCTTTGAAGAGATCGCAGTCATATTCAATATACGCAGCACATTAGCATTGCAAACACTATCAAAAACATGACACGATATTTCATTTTCCCACTTTCCCTGCTGTTGATATTGACCCCGTGTTCCTCAATACAATCTCTTCGTTTGGATGTGACTGA